TGCTTAACAGCTCTGTAATTCACTTAACAACTGCAATAATTCATTTAACAATCATGGGAAAAGTTGTAAAGTCAGGTGTGATTCAATAGCCACATTGCACAACAAAGGAAATTCTGGCACCAATTATGTCATAAGTCAATGTCATTTGGGAAAAGTGTATTTTTGAGGTTTGGTGGCTAATAACACCACTTTTTTTAGCAGTACCATAAAATTATATATCAATGGAAAGTTAATTTTATCAAGAACGTAATACAATAAAGTTTGTTCAATTATGTGTATTCTATGAAAAGTGATAGCCAAATAGCCAGAAAAAGAAAGCACAGCTTGCTTAGGTAGATATCAGGTAGCTTTCCTTCATCTGATTGTAGCCAATGAGCATGAGTGTTTAGAGAGCCAATCAGGTGTCATCTTGTTTTGGCAATGATCCAATCATATCACAGTAAGATTCAGTTATTGATGTCATGAATTGAAGATGAGAGGAGAACATTTGTCAGTGTGTTATGTGATCGCTGTCAAGTTGGTTGGGGTTTTTTTGTGTTCTTTCATTTAGTGAGCTTGTAAAATGTAATAAAATTAGTGACTCAGTCACTACAAAACCACACTGCTAAAGGCAGGAAAAGGTGTATAACATCCAGTAATGATAGAAGAATTAAGAGACTGCACCTACGTGACAGAAGAAAATCATCTGGCTGTATACAAGATGAAATGGTGCAATGCAATGTGAAGTTGACTGCTCAGCACAGACTGTAGGAATTTGGCCTAAAATCTAGAATTCCACGAAAAAAGCCACTTTTATCTCTCAAACAAAGGTTGAAAAGACGCTTCACCGAAAAATGTGCGCTCGACAAAAGCGCGCCAACGAAACAGCGGGCCGAAAAACTGCAAGTTCAAAAGAACGCCGACGAATGAACGCAGAAGCACGCCGACAATAGTGCGCCGACAAAAGCGCGCTCTAAACCTAACCCTAAACCTAACCCTGAACCTAACCTTAATCCTAAATCTAACCCTTACCCTAACCCTTACCTTAACCCTAATCACGCTTCTGTTGGCGCTCTTTTGTCGGCGCGCCTTTGTGGGCGCCCTGTCGATGTCGCGGTTTTATCGGCACGCTGTTGTCAGGCGCACATTTGTCGGGTCACGGAAAAGACTAACCTGGCCTAAAACCCATGTTACCTGGACAGAGGAACAATGGGGCAATGTTATTTGGAGTGATGAGACCAAGATTTCCCTATTTGGTATAATGATGGCTTAAAATATGTAAGGAGAAGTATCTGAGAAGATTTGCATCCTGATTGCATTACATGTACTGTGAAATCAGTGGTGGTTTCTGGATCCTGGTGCAACCAACACTGCAACGGGGCCCGGCGTCCACCACATGAACATGCACACCTGCGTAGCACGCACATGCATCCTTACCTCCTGTGACACTCCAGCTGCTCTGTGGAGCATTGCGCAGGTGCAGTATGATCCATGCGCGGAAGCGCCAAAGAGCTCAAATACAGGTAAGGAAGGGCCCTCCGGAGCACTGTACCAGAACGGTACCTGGTGCTCCCGGTAGGCACTGATACGCCCGTATTGGGGCGTACTGCCTGCAACCCACCACTGTGTGAAACACCCAGTCAGTGTTATGATCTGGGTTTGTATGACATCAAACAGTGTGGGCAGAATTTGTGTGATTAATGGGACTATAAATGGCCAAAAATACATTAAATGAAATACTTGAGCCCAAACTGAAGCGTTCCGCACATGATCTTTTCCAAGACAAGGAAGCATTTATATTTCCACAGGATTCAGCTCCATGTCATGCTGTTTGCAAAAAGTGGTTTCAAGATAATCATATTCCACTGCTGGGAATAGCTCAGAACTTAACCCAACTGAAAATCTATGAAGTTGACTAAAGAAACTTGTTAGTCAGAAGCAACTCAGCAATAAAACCCAGTTAATAGAAGCAATCATTTAATCTTGGTTTCACATTATAACAGCTGCAGAACTAAAAGACTTGGTTCACTCCATGGGAAGACTTTATATGGCTGTAATTTATGCTAAAGGTTATGCAAATAAGTATTAACTGATATGGTGATAAATTTTGTATATCTTGTTTCACTTTTCTTCTTTATAAATGCTATTCCAATAGCGAATTCTTCATAAAAGTTATTACATTACATTCTTGATTTCCATTCTTTCCATTGATATATAATTTTATGGTACAATTCAAAAAAAGTATACTTTTCCCAAAAGATTTCCACAATTTTGGCCATGTGTGTTTCTTTATAGCTGGATAATTTACTAGATTCAAGGAGAAATGTTGAAAGATGTATTGTTATGATTGTCATATAAGCCATGCAGCTTTTTTGGATTTCAATTTCAAACGCTGCTTTGAGATGCACTGTGGAGCTTCCATCTCTTAATTCTTTGTATTCCTGTAAAAAAGATATAAATCTGAAAAATAAATAAAACTCTCAGCATTGTTAGCCAACAGTGGCAGGAGGCTAGGCATTCTTATCTCACACAATTGAAGGGCACTGTGAATTGTGGGTTGCTACCTGACAACATTTCTAAAGTATTTTCAAAAGATAGGAAACCAGATTTTTTTTTTAATGGCACGATAGTACATCCAAAGTCTTGCCAGTTTGATGCAGTGTTTGGTTTGATGGAGGTTAACATTCAATGGGCCCCCAGATTGCCTGTTCTTGTGTCTTGATCGTTTACAGATTACGCTAGCCCAAGCTGCTCAAAGAAAATCTAAGGCTTTGAACTCTCTCCTCTGTTCCTTTGCCCAAGTTCTACTTGTCATCAAGGTCGGACTTAATCACTTTGCAGTTATGTTCTCTGCTGCTTCTCTGAAGTTTTCTGTACAGATTAAGAGATACTTTTCGATTGTAACGTCTTTTGATTTGTAGTGGAGAGCTATGATGTGTCCCGGATCCAAAGATTGTTAAGTGTCTTGAAAATTGCCCAGTAAAGCAAGCAACGTCTAATGAGCATTGGGAGGATAATGGGGCTGAAGTAGAGATAACATTAGTGATACAAACTGCTCGCTCAACCTCATTTTGAAAGGAAAACATGTGTATGAGCTGTCCAGCAATTTGGAAATAGAGTTCTATGTTTATTTTACTCCTTGAAACATAATGGAATAACAACTCTCTTGTTCTTTAGTAAGCATTGAAGAGGGTTTTTTTCAAGAAGGGAAGGGGAATAGAAGGCAAAGAGAAATGAGAAAATCAACAAGGCTGGAGTGATTTAAGATTGCTCTCTAAATCACTTCGATAGGGTGCAAAATATGTAATTAATTTAAGCAAGTTATATTTTCCTGTGGACCAAGAATGGGGTATCAGCATCTGCAAGATGATAATGTGCTCTCCAGTGGTGGATTGCTCTTATTGTCACTACTGATACACTGATCACGCGAACACATCTGACTTGTGCTGTGCGTGCACAATCCATCGCCCCTGCGACAACCAGTTGATTGTTGGGGCTCGCACAGGCATCGCACGCTGTGTGCGCATGCACACTTTGCTGTTTGCCATAAAAACAGGTATAGAGGGTGGCGGGTGGGCCAAACGAGCCACCTATTGGTATGCTCTCAGCTGCTCCGGGCCACTACTGGTACGGCCATACCAGGCCATACCCCCAGCAACGCACCTCTGGCACTCTCCCAATCAAAGCCCTTCCCCCTTTGTACAACCATAGGACATATCCAAAAGAGACAAAAATTCAGTTGCAGTGAAACCCCATAATCTTGCTGTTTTTTATTGCTCCCAAAGATGCGACTAGATTTTAATGCATTGAGTGAATAAAGCTTGCATCAATAGTTTTGTTTTGGAATGTGGTTTGTCAGTGTTTTTCACTGCTTTGTTTTTTTTTTTTTAAAGGAAGAAAAAAGGAAGTGGAATTTGGGATTAAAAAGAGTTCAAACAAGTTGGGGGAAATACAGGGGGGAGAAAGAAACTGGAACAGTCGTATGTCAGTCACAGAAATATACAGAGAAGATGAGGAGGCTTAATTATATATTTCCATTTTATTTTTTTCAATTTCTTCTATTTTTATTTCTTGTTTCTTAGCCTTATACATTTTGTTATGCTGAAAAATTCTAATTAAAAATATTCAAAAATAGCTTTGATTTCTGTTTTACAGAACATAGTCTTTTACAACTCCTTCATTTGTGCAGGAGAGAATTTTCATTCCTGCCATTCCTTGATTGACTGATTTATCCTACCTGAATTTATGGGGCTTATTTTAGAATAGATGTGTACAGAACTATACTCTTTCAATTCATTTATAATTCTGCCTACATTTTCACAGGTTTAAATCTACTGGAGAATGAATATCGGGTGCAAAAATTATCCTCCTGATCTTAAACATTTTCCATAGAAATGGCTCCCTTGTGTCTGTCAGTAAAAGATTTGATGAGTTCTAGATTAAATCCAAAGGGACGCGGTGGCTCAGTGACTAAGATGCTGAGCTTGTCAATCAGATAGGTCAGCAGTTCAGTGGTTCGAATCCCTAGTTCAGTGTAACGGAGTGAGTTCCCGTTACTTGTCCTAGCTTCTGCCAACCTAGCAGTTTGAAAGCATGTAAAAATGTAAAAATGCAAGTAGAAAAATAGGAACCACCTTTGGTGGGAAGGTAGCAGCGTTCCGTGCGCCTTCAGTGTTTAGTCATGTTGGCCACATGACCATGGAGACATCTTCGGACAGTGCTGGCTTTTCAGCTTTGAAACAGAGGTGAGCACCACCCCCTAGAGTCGGGAACAACTAGCACATATGTGCAAGGGAAACCTTTACCTTTACCTTTAGATTACTTCCAATATATTAAAGTAGTTGAAAGCTAAATATGATAAAACATAAAAATACACATTTTTTCAAAGTCATGAAAAAAAGAATAATTGATAAAGCAGTCCGTGCAAAGTAGCAAATCACAAGATACGTTTCTACGATCCCAGTTCTTTTTTGTTCCTACTAATGTTGAAAGTAAAACTTATATAATGCTTGTTTTTGCAGAATGACCAATCTACGGAAGATACTCGGATCATAGGAGGAGATGACTTTTCAAAACTGGCTGGAAAGGTCTGTAAACATCATAAGGGATTGAGTTTTAAAAACTGCTTGTTTAATAATGAAAATAAACTTTGAATGTAGGAATGTATACATAATTATTTATAAATACAGGTAATCTTTGTTCAGTGACTACTCAGTCAGTGACTATACAATGAGGACACTTATAGACATTCCTTGTACTTGTGGATATTGTGGTATCCCTGCAATCACATCATCACAATTCAGGCACTTGGCAACCAGCATGCATTCATGGCATTTTCAGCATCTCACAATCACATCATCATGATTTCTGGTCTTCACTACCAGCTTCTATAAGCAAAGTCAATGAGGACACTGGCCGGAAATCACCAATTTAACAATTGCAAGTATTTTTTTTTCGCGACCACCACTGGAACTATCATACATCCATGCAGTCACATAACATTGTACTTTACATCTGCATCACTGAGTGGAAGAATTGCTGGTCTCCTATTTCTGTCATTAAGCAAGGAACATCTGTAATAAATTGCTGTATTTTTCAGAGTATAAGACGCACTCCCCTGTCCCTACCCAAAAGAGGCTTAAAATTTGGAAAAATGTTCAAACACTTGTCTTCCGTGCTTTGCCTGTTCCGGTTACTGGAGCTCCCTGCAGTGATCAGTTATGCTTTAGAAGCTGTTTTTCTGCCTCAACGCTCTCACGTTCACTCACAACCAGTAAACTAATTTGCTGAAGCTGACCAGGCTAAGGACTAAGGATGCTAGCCAGATGAAGACTCCTATTTTCCTCCCCCCCCCCCAAAACTAAGGTTATGCTCCGGGGTGTCTTATACTCCGAAAAATATGGTACAAATACTTGATCGGTTTTGTAGTGCTCTAAGTCATCCTTCTAAGGCCTGAAATGCCTGCAACCCTCATCATTCCCACAACACCCACCAGGTAAAAATACAATTATGTATGTGATTGTATTTGAATGCTATGATAAATTATGGTATATATTATTTTCCCCTTTAAATCCACCAGATGTTTTAAACTTGGTTCCTATCATTGCTTTTGTTATGCTGGCAGAGAATTATAAAAGCTGGAAGACCCTATGTTTGGGATGGATGACTTCTTATGATGGGTACAAGTCTTAGTAACCTATCTTGGATATGGGTATTTCCCTACTAACGCAGCACAACTTAACTATGGTTTAGGATGCCATTCAAGTGGCTAAACTATGGTTTAACTTTATCTAAAACAAGTTAGCTTCATATCTCCTGGGCCTAAATACAATTTCAGATTTCAACGATATGATTAATTGCAGTTTATCAGAAATTGTCACAACATGATTGAAAAAGGATGCACGTGAGGCTAAACCTTGTGTAACTTGTCTCTGTAATTATGGACAATAACTTATTGTGATGCCTGAAAGCAGCTAATTGTCTGCTTGGCTTCACAATGTATCATTACATTGGTCTTGGCAGTAGTCCTAGGTTTACACATCTTGCCAATTGATGGTTTGTTGGACAAGTTAGCAACAAGCAAAGTCACTTGCTGGATTGATACATTGTGCTAAGCTACAGTCCATGTTGTTGGATGAATGGGCCATGGCTGTGGAGCCATTGTCATTTCTAAACTGTGATTTATAGCTTAAGGCTACGTATTTACCAGCTCAGGCTTACAGACAAAGTAGCTATGGTTTTTGTGGCCTATATCCAGTTTGTTTTCTGTCTCGAACTGCTCCTGCCTGCTGCATCTGGGGATTGGCTAGACAGTATTTCTCAAACTTGGTGACTTTAAGTCCTGTGGACTTCAACTCCCAGAATCCCCCAGCCAGCTGGGAGTTGAAGTCCACAGGACTTAAAGTCGGCAAGGTTGGGAAACACTGGGCTAGAGGCTTCAACAAATTCAACAACTTCCGTCCCACATGCACAAACACACACAGGGAATGCATATGATTGAGTGAGACAGGCTGATACAAAGGGAAGCAAACGGGAACACAGTGCAGTTAGTGGAGCCGAGAGATTTATTATACATGCCCTTCTCTGGATACCTAGTATAGCTTGTGCGGCTTCATTCCGCACCAATTGAAGATTCCAGATACTTTTCGTATGTGTGTGAGAGAGAAAGAGAGAGAGAGAGAGATGTGTGTATTATATTTATATCCAATGTTCAATTCTATTCCATTCAATAAATCAACCACTTATGATTTCAAAAAGTGGTTACTAAAAAAAATCATAATTTATTCATTGAGCGTCTTCTGTGATTTGTGCTAAACCAAATAATAAATACTGTTTCTAGTTTCCAGAGTCATTAAAATAGGCAGTAAACTACAGAACTTTTTAATAGTTTCAGTTATTATTCAAGGTTGACTCAGCCTTCCATCTTTCTGAGGTGGGTAAAATGAGGACCCAGATTGTTGGGGGCAATATGCTGACTCTCTGTAAACTGCTTAGAGAGGGCTGTAAAGCACTGTGAAGTGGTATATAAGTCTAAGTGCTATTGCAAAGTGCTATTATGACTATTCTATTTCTAGCACCTGAAGAACAAGCAGTGTTTCTTTTTCCACTATATTTGAACATAATGATTTGGCTGGGGGTAAGAGAGTGGTGGGATGGAAACTTTGTTACAATACAAGATTGAGATGTGTCCATGACACATATGCTGATGCAACTACATGGTCACATATATGTGCTGATTCCATCGTCTACCATATTATTTTGTGTACCGTTATGTTTTGTTATAGATGTGCTCAAGGGCTAAGCTATTCAAAAAATGAAAGATTTATTTCACTTGGCTCAGAATATAGGGATCATAATCAAGTTTGGTGTAGTGTTTAAAGCATCAGGCTAGAAACCAGGAGACGGTGAGTTCTAGTCTCCTCCTCCCCTTAGGCTGTGTGAGTTTGGGCCAATTACCAAGAGACAGTGAGTTCAGATTTGTTCATAGCCATGAAATCTGGCTGAACAATTTTGGGCCAGTCGCTATCTCTCAGCCCACCCACCTCACAGAGTTGTTGTTACAGAAAAAATAGGAGGAAGGAGTAATGCGTGCATTTGTTGCCTTGAGTTATTTGTTAAAATAATAAAGGCAGATCACATCAAACCTAGAGTAAATTTAGTAAGGGTAATAGCAAAAGTAATTTATCCCAAAAGTACAATTATTCTGTGATAATATCATGACTTTTAACTGGTTAAATATTTCATTTCATTTTAATTTATTTTAATGAAATAATTGATTGTATTACATTACATATTCCTTCACCAAAATCTCACTCAGGCTTTTAATTACTGAAAAAAAGTATGAGATGAATTTATAATTTATTCAGAAAAGTTGCCACTGATAATTATCTATCAGAGAAAAGTCTATATATATTATTTTCTGTTCTTGTTTGTTTTGCTTTTATTTGTCTTGTATGCCGCCCACTCCGGAAGGACTCCGGGCGGCTCACAATAGACAAGGGAAGGGGGGAAGACTAGACAAAGACAACACTTTAAAAACAAAACCGCAACATTCACAATTTCCGCGGGGCTGGATATTTCACAGCCCACCGCCCGGCCAGCTGGAGCAGCCAGGACTTGGTGGCTTTGCGGAAAGCCGGGACGGTCGTAAGGGTCCGGATCTCGACAGGGAGATCATTCCAGAGGGCTGGAGTTGCAACAGAGAAGGCTCTCCCCCGGGGGGTCGCCAGCCGACATTGGCTGGCGGATGGAATCCGGAGGAGACCTAACCTGTGAGATCTGATCGGTCTATGGGAGGTAATCGGCAGGAGGCGGTCTCTCAGGTACCCAGGTCCGATTCCATGTAGGCCTTTATAGGTAGCGACCAGCACCTTGAAGCGGATTCAGAGACTAATGGGTAGCCAGTGCAGCTCACGGAGGATAGGTGTAACGTGGGTGTACCTGGGTGCACCCACAATCGCTCGCGCGGCTGCGGTCTGGACTAACTGTTCTGCTAACATACCCAAAATAGTTTTTAAGTAGCTTAATTGCTTGATTATGTATTCCTTTAGCTGACTATTCAAGAAGAAAATAGTTATGATTTAAATGTCCTTTTCTGGCTTTTAAAAACAGTGATACATTTGATTAGTGCCCAGTCCTTTACATTCAAAATTTGTTGAATTATTATTTTCAGACAATGGTTTAAAGGATTGCAGCCTTTCAAGTGCAGTGAGTGTCAACCTATTATATTTTGTTCAGCAGGGTTAGCTATTGATAAGTACATAAGATTGCTATCGTTTATCAGTTTAACTGATTTACAGAGTGAACCTAAACATATTTGTACCATTTGTGTTTAATAGTGCTTATTCCCAAGTCAAAATCTTACCCCTAAACCTATAATCCTGTGTAAGTCATTAATTTTCTCATCTGAAATATTTATTGATTAAATTCAGACGTGAGAAAGAATTTGTGCATATATTATCTGTTTAGTTTAATTCTAGAATCAAGATTGCCATGATTAGTTGATAGTGCATTCATCTGAAGCCAATGGCTGGTCAGGATTTCATTGTCAGAAGTGATGGAAATGGTGGTAAACCTGAGGCTTTTTTTGTATGGATGGTCTAATTAAGAAATATCTGCCTTAACTGGCTTTCACTCATCTGCCTAATTTTTACCATATAATTGAAGGGAGAAATTCTTGCAAAACAAAAAAGTAAAGTTCTGAAATGTGCTCATTGGGTTGGGATGAGGAATTGGCCCTTATGAGTTGACATACAAAATCATTCTGCCCTATTACGGCTACTGAAATAGGCTGTGGAATTGCACATTAATTCAAAGCTATAAAAGACATTTTTATGGAAAAATATGCCATATGAAAGTTTAAAAAGCATCCTTGATTCATCCTGTAAGATGCGCGTTTGTGTACATTTTTGTGCAAAACCACAAAATAAGATTCCATCGAATAGCACAAAAATAGGAAAGGAGAAAATATTTTGCCATCCAGGTGTTTTCATTGGTCAAGGATAAATTTGTTCTTTATCCCTAATATGTTATGGCTTCTGCTTTCCTTTCTAATAATATTATGCATTCCTCACAAAGATTATAGAAG